CTCCTCTCCTCTCCTCTCCTCTCCTCTCCTCTCCTCTCCCCTCCTCTTCTCTCCTCTCCCTTTCCCTCCTTTCCTATCCTCTCTTCTCCCCCATCTGTCCCCCTCATCTCCATTTTTTTTTTAGTAGGACTGAGGCTTGAACCTAGGGTCTTGTGTGATCTTCATTCCTTAAAAACCCTTGTTGGCTTTTTATGCATTGAATAAACATGACTACTCAATAATTTTAACATATTTACAAAAATCTATGTTATATGTAACACCAAGGAGTGAATGATCTGAAGAATATTCCCATATGGTCAATTTCATTTGCTCAAATTAATTTTTCCATTGACACAAATTTATAGGGAAATGCTATTTTTTTTTTTTTTACTTTTAACTAGTTCCTTGAAACACTGATGAGGAATGAGAGGGAGTTCAAAATTGTCCGAATGACTGATACTTTCTATAATGTGGTGTTCAGGAATTAATATATAAGAATAAAAAGGCTTTAATCTTAATTTGATAGGATTTATTGAATATTAATTCCACAATAACTCACTTTTTACTGCCAGCTTTTAAAAGGATATTTTGCTAAGACTTTCCAAGGAGAAGCTGATCCTTGAGTCATCCCCAAAGGTTTCTAATCCATTATTACCACTGCTAATGACTAATGACTTCAACTTTGGAGACCTGCTTGGCAGCTGCATCCTTCATCCTTTATGAATAATTTCACAGCACTCCATCCTTCTCTAATGGGCTGAGAAAGGCTCACTATCTCTTTAGCAGTGCTGTAGGATATTGAGATTTACAGTGACAATAGTACAGGAAGCACCTAAGAACTCAATCTCCTTAGTGACCTTTCCAGTCTACAAGTGGAGAGCAACGTTTTTGATGTATCTAATTATGTACAGAATTTGAATGTAACAGGCCCTTTCCTCCTCTATATGGTAAGGTTTTGCTAATGGGATAGAGCAGACTGACTCTGCTCCTCTCAAGGGTGAGTTTCAACATTTTCCAGTGAGATTTAACACTGACAACCCTTCCCTTAGAATCATTATGGGCCACCAAAATCAAGTGGCAAGACACCCTGAGGGCTTGCTTGGACAATTAAAAATTAGAATCTTTGTTGGAGAAGACAGTCATTGCTCAGGATTTATTCTCACTTCAGGAGCCTGAATCTCTAGTTAGGGATGGGGAAGGCAAGACAGGTTCTTCCACACTCAAGACAGACCTAGAAATGGACCAACAAACTAGTCTGATTGAGATTAAAGATTTAGCATCAGCTGCCTAAGTATTAGTAACAAACCTGGGCCATCCATGGGCATCATTAACCCGTATCCTGAGTTTTAATCAAACCATACCAAGGCCTCTCTAAATGTAGGTTTCTTTTCTTTTCTTTTCTTTTCTTTTCTTTTCTTTTCTTTTTCTTTCTTTCTTTCTTTCTTTCTTTCTTTCTTTCTTTCTTTCTTTCTTTCTTTTACCTCCAAATAATCTTTACTGCAGTCATTGTGGTTCTCCAGGCTCAAAGTCCCAAAGGTAAATGTTATCAAGGATCCAGGACTGACTAGAATGTGCCAGACACAATCTCTTCCTGGAGGGTAGTTTCCAGGATATCCCGGAGATGTTATAGAACCATAATCACCAGTCAGTGTGCCGCCACACTCTGAAATAAAAAGGAAAATGACCAAGTTTGTATGTGAGCTAAATTCACACAGATTTCTCATAGACTGATGTCAGAAGGCAAGATCTTTTACATAACTATGAAGAAATTAGGTTGGGAGGCCCTCATAAATTACACAGTCTTTGGAGCTGCCCTCTTTAATGCTATAAATCTACTACAAACTGATAAGTAAACAAGTCATCCATGCAGGAACTCTGTACCTACAGAATTTTGTATGGTTATGTGATTTAAAACACAGAGCTGAGCTTTCTGAGACATAAATAATGTGAATATAGATTTAGTTCTTTACCCTAGAAGATTAGTTTCTATATATTAACTCTAAAAATTCTGGAACTTCTGTCAGCCCCTACATCTTTCAACAAACCAGAACACTTTATATTTCAAAATAGTTAAGGAACACATAATTTTCTTTTGAGAAGGATCTTCGTATACTATGACAAATTATTTATATTTTTATATTATACAATCATAAATAGTCTTATAGAAATCATATATAAATTATAAAATAAATACATTGTTCATTTTATAAATGAAGACATTTAAATGTACAGGGTGATTAAGTCACTGTCTCAGGAATGAAGCAGGTAGGGCACTGAATTGGGTTTCCTGGCGACATTTCCATCGCACCACACCAATGTTAGGAAGAACTCTTTCTCTTTAATAGTCACATTTATTCAATAAAGAACTTGTGGTGGCTAGTAAGGAATGTCACTATATAATCAAAAAGTAGAAATAATCTAGACTTTGATAAATATACCTTAAGAAAGAAATGAACTAATGTGACATTTTAAGTACGTAAAATAAGATATTCATGTAACTATACATACTACTAAGACAAAGCTTTTATAACCAAAGCAAAACCTGAAAAAAATATTTATACGGTTTCCATTGCTCCTCACAGGGAACATCCAAGTTCAGAGAAAGTACATTTTGTAAAACTTAACTTAGAAATCTATTATGAGTATAAAACTTCTTAACTCCTAAAGTAATATAATCAATGTAAAATTTTAAAGATCAAATGCAGATGTAATATATAACAGTTCTCACCCATAACATAGAAACTTTCAAAAAAGAGTAGTAATACGGGGAGAGAGTACACTGTAAAGATTTCAGTGTCTCTTGAACACATTGGAAAATGTCCAGGATCTCTGCTACTACTCAGCTAAAGTTTCTTGACTCTCAAGAGATAAAGGTCCAAACTATTTAAAACCAAATTGCTAGACTGGCTGTGAGAAATAGTCACTATCCCACATTATTATAAGTATATAGGATGGTCTGACCACTGCAAATAAGTATGTCACATAAAATAGCAAAACCTTATGCATGCTTTTTTACTGGTCAATCCCAAAGGCACAGTGGCAAAGTTGGAATAAGGCCAATATATAAGGTATTTGTTGTAGCAGTGGGGGGAGATGGAACAGGAGAATAAAGAGAAGAGGGAGATGAGGAATGGAATACAAGGAAAGACAGCTAAAATTAAGGACCAATTAGGGAGTAGTATAGAAACTTGATACAATAGAAGCTTCCTAGTGTGTGTGTGTGTGTGTGTGTGTGTGTGTGTGTGTGTGTGTAGGAGATCTAAATGAAATCACCAAATAACTCAGGAGACAGAGCCAAAAGTGAACATGTCTTGTCACCAAATGAAGATTCTAGTATTGGGATTGGATTACATCTAATTGAACTGTTGGTCAAAGGGGTCCTACAGAGTCCCAATCAACCCAGGCTGTTGACAAAACTGTAGGTTGCTCTACACAAATTATGCAAAGGTCCTATTGATAAAGATAGTCCCTACACAGCTAATTGAACATGGGAAAGTTGAGCTGGTGCCTACATAGAGCTTCCTCCTCTATGTTCTAGCATCTTTAATATGGGAAAGGTACTCTAAAAGCTACAAAAAGAGAAATGTAAACACCAAGCCAGCCACAAACCCTTTGATCTACACTGATGTCCTGACTGCAAGATATGCTAGGACAATAGTAGCACAAAGCTGCTAACTGATTTCACTTAAAGCACTCTACATGAGATGCAACCCATACCCATCACTGCTTAGGAGACCAAGAACCAGAGAATAGATGGACCAGAGACTTAGGGGAAAACCAATTACTACTGTCCTTAAAAAAGAAAAGCAAAAAAAGCACCAATAAAATGACTCCTATTAACATTCTTCTAAACTCATAGATCAATACTTGCTCAACCATCATCAGAGAAACTTTTTCCTGCAGCCAGTGGGAACAAATACTGAGACCCACAACAAGACATTATGCAGAGAGTTAGAGAACTTAGAACATTCAGCCATATATTGGATATCTCAATCAAATCCTTCTCCTCGGGGCTCAGGGAACCCCATGGAAGGAAAGGCAGAAATAATCCAAGAGTTAGACAGGATGGAGACACCAAGAAAATATGGCTCTCTAAGTTAACATTATGAAAGATCATATGAACTCACAGAGACCGAGGAAGCGTGTGCAGGGCCTGCATGGATCTGCACCAGGTCCTCTGCATACATATTATTGTTTCAAGTTTAGTGGGTGTTTGGGGGGGATTACTGAGTGTACAAATGAGTGAGTCTATATCTTGTGCCTTTTCTTGGTTCTTTTCAGTCTGTTTGTCTTGTTGAAGACAATTTTAATTTTTTTGCTGAGTTAATTTGTGTTTTATCACATCATCACATCACACCATATAACATCATAACATATTATATTATATTATGAAGTCTGATTTCTTGTGAGAGGCAGAAAGGGAGTGTCTCTAGATGGAAGGGAAGAAGGAGAGGAACTAAGAAGAGTAAAGGGGAAACTGTAATCAGGATATATGAATATCAATAAATGAAAAGCTAAATACAAGAAAAAATTAAAATGTGCTATTTGCAACAGTGAAATCTTTACATTGTAAGTGATTTTTTAACATTATATTGGACACAGCAGAAGACAGGACCTTGTATACCTAGACATTCCAAAAATTCCAAAAGAAAGTAAACAAATGAATCAAGCTAAAAAAAAAAATGGAAGGAAGAACTCATTGGAAGGAGAAAGGAATGCAAGAATAAGAAAGTAGTGAAGTACAGTCATAACCTTTTATATATTGAGAGGTGACAGGGATATTAGAAGGCAAGACATGGCAACCTAAGTATTACAATTGACTTTCCAGACAGAAACTACAGAGGACAGAGACAATGAAAGAGCAGATTTGAAGGCTCTTCTGAAGTAGAAAGGAAACTTAAACTCTTATGTATGGTAATACTCTTCTAGGGTGAGAGTATAAAAGTGACTGACTATTGGTCCAACAAATACTGATGCCATGTATTAAAGGGTGTGCTTGAAGATGAAGTAAAATAAGCCTATATAGAATGCAAATTTCTCTCTACTTGAAAGAGATGTAATTTTACATACAGAAAAATCCCTAAAGACTCCACCAAAAATAGTTAGATCAATAAAGTAAGCTAATAAACTAATTCATGAAGGCTACAGGTTATTCATTAACAATGCACATATTAATAATGAATTATCCAAAATAAGAGATATTTTAAAATACCATTCAAAATAGCATCAAGAAGTGATTCACCTCATGAGGAATTTAACTAAAGATGTGGAAATATCTATAGATTGAAAACTATAAAATACTGCTATATGAAATTGAGTAAAATATAAATGCAAAGATATACATTCAAAAAAGAATATTATTTTAAAACTGCATGGGACCCAAGGTGATCTACAAAGTCAATGTCACCTTCTTCAGATTTCCAATGCTATTTTTCATAGAAACAGAAAATCTGTCTTGTAATTCATCCAAACTACAAAGACTCCAAGTGAGCAAAACAATCTTGAGTAAGAACAAAGCTGGAGACATCACAGCACTTGTTAAAAAATACAAAGCAGCTCTAATCAAAGCTATATTAGGAATATGTAAACAGACACCTAGTTCTATGTATTAGAATAGAAAACACAAAAATAAATCTGTTTCTTACTCAGCTGAGTTTAGAAAAAGGTGCTAGGAGCAATCAATAGAGAAAAGATAGCCTGCATTATAAATGTTGATTGAGCGGGGTCTTCACTTGCAGAAAATTGAACTTGACCATTATTTCATATCTTATAGAAATACAAACTCAAAATGGACTAATTACTTAAATATATGGACTGACCCTGTAAAACCACTAAGATCCATATATTAGATCTGAATAACAATTAATTTTGGACATGACTCCAAAAACACACAGGCAACAAAAATCTACGGTTAGTAGGAAAAAGTGATACGTCACAAAATGTTTCTGCATACCAAAAGAATCAATCAACAGGCTGAGGAGAGGGCCTGGAAGAGGAATTAAACATCAATAATCCATATCTTATAGGCTGGTGTGGAGTTGATGGCCAAAAGAGAAAAGGAACACCAACAACAGCAAGAAAAAAAAAAACCAGGAACTAGAATGGCCATTGTCAGGAGGACACCAGGCAGCAAGTGCAGTAAGTTACACTACAGGCTCAACTCTGGACCTCTAATGCTCATCATGGCAGCCATAGTTAGCACATCATGATGTAATCGACATTTGCTCAGAGAGCAGTTCTTTGACATTCTCACTACATACAGAAGGAAAACGAAATATAAATATTTGAAATAACTAGAAAACGAAAATCAAATAAAATATATTAAGCAAAGTTGTCAGAACAAAATAAATGAGCACTATAATCGCAGCTTGGCATCTCAGTGCAGGTCTCCGCATCAGTAGAGCAAACACCTTAAGTCACTGGAGAAATAAAATATTTGAACAAAGCTACTGACCAAATTGACAAAGTTAACGTATATAGATGGCCATATCCAATTATTGCAAAATACATGTTTTTCCTCACCATGTTGGAAATACCAAAATAAAAACCTTAGTCCATGAAGCAAATTCCAAACACTTGATACATTGCTTCATTACTAAGTGACCACACTGGTAATTAATGGTCACTGATAAATCAAAATAAAAATAGGAAAATGTCTTAAACTCTAAAAATATACATCAAAACCTCTGAATAAAGATAAACCAGAGTAAAATGCTTCACTTCATTGCATACATTAACAAGTATGTTTTTTTTTTTTGCATGTGAGTATGTAATGTACATGTGTGTATGTGTTTGCAGAGGTCAGGGCTTGACTTCAGGTGTTTTTCTCATCACACACCACCTTACATATCTAGGCAAGCCTTCTCATTTGAACCTAGAGTCTGCTAATCTGGTTCATCTAGCTAACCAGCCTACTCTGAGGATCAACTTTCTCCACCTCTCAAGTGCTGGGGTTTCAGGCAGGTTGTCATTCTTGCCTTGTAATTTCATAGCAAGCACTCTACCCACTAAGCCTCTCCTCAGCCCCTGAATTGTATTTTTAAAGGCTAGAAACCACTTTCCAAACCTTGTAAGTCACGACCTCAGGAAAATTATGAAAGCAACAGCAAGTTAAGCTTTCTAAATGTAAGAAAGAGAAAAAGTTCACCTTCAATATAAGTAGGTTTGAGATGAATTCAACACACTAAAGTGGCAGAAGTAATACAATGTGACTTTAAAGAATTGGCTACAGCCTTCAGCACCTGCCTGCCTTTGTTGTAGGGCTTTCTCTGAGGGATGGCAATAGACATAAAAGAACTCCTATTATAGGGGCAACGGCCTGACAGAACTCTCATCTGAAAAGAAAATATTGTTGCCCATGTGACAAAGGCTGTTTTCCTTAGTTCTGGGGCTCAAACCCAGGGCCTTACATTTCAGACAAGAGCTTGATTTATGAAGCTTAAGTGATCAATTTTGACTATGTAGACCACATGCACCTTCAGAGAATTACAGAATTAGCTGACACCTTTCCAAAGTTCAGGCCCACAAAATAAGCTGATTAGGATTCCATAACCCTGAATTTTTGAGTCATATACACTACATAGTAATTGGAATAGGAGAAAATACCCTTGGTATGATAAAAGTCACCTACAAAAATTTATATTTAATATTGTATTCAATGAAAAAAATACTGAATGTTTACCCGATGTAGTCAGGAAAAAGACAAAAAACACTCTACTCCCTACTTTCTCTTAGCACCGTATTACAGGTTTTAGCCAAGGCAATAACTAAAGGAAAATATGTAAGAGTTCAAAAAATATGAAAGATTAATAATATCCCTTCTCACAGATGACATTATGGTGCATGAAAAATAGAAAAGAATCTTTGGAAGATTTAGAACTTAAACTGAAATCTATGAAACTCTACCATGGGGACCATAGCAGCATGAAACAATTATGGGACAAACAATCACATTCTGAATGGATTTAATAACTGCTTCATAAAAGGCAATACAGATTTGATGGGTTTTGGTGACCATCACCCCAGCAGCCCCACTGAGGACTCCACCTCTATGACTTAATGAATTGGACTTATTGAATTATTAAAAAGAAAAGAAGAGAAAAGAAAAGAAAAGAACATGCTCGTCTGTCCTCCTTCTCTGCAACTGGATTTCAGTTCAGTTCAAGGTTTAGCTGTGGGTGTCTGCTTCTATTTCCACCAGCTGCTGGATGAAGGCTATACCATGGCATATGAATTAGTCATCAAACTCATTATCAGAAGAGGGCATTTAAAGTAGCCACTTCTCTATTGCTTAGATTGTTGGTGTCATCTTTGTAGCTTTCCAGACATTTCCCTAGTGCCTGATTTCTCTTTAAACCTATAATGCCTCCCTCTATTATATTATCTCTTATCTTGCTCTCTTCTGTTCTTCCCCCAACTCAGCCTCCCTGACCCATCATGTCTAGGAGGATGGATGAGCATAGGGGTCCATACCAGGCTGTTGAAACCCACAGAAACAGCTGTCCTGAACAAGGAAGAGCTCTTGGTCCCCAGACTATAGCTGGGAAACTAGCATGGGACTGATCCAGACCCCTTGAATGTGGGTGTCAGTGAGGGGACCTTGGGAATCTATGGGGCCCCAAGTAGTAGATCAGTATTTGTCCCTAGCATAGGAATGGACTCTGGGAACCCATCCCACATGGAGGGATACCCCCTAAGCCTAGACACGAGGGGGTGGGCCTAGGCCCTATCCCAAAGGATATGACAGACTCTGAAGACCCCCTATGGAAGGCCTCACCCTCCCTGGGGAGCAGAAAGCATATGGGATAGGTAGGGTGTTAGTGTGTGTGGGGGGGAGGCAGGAGAGAAGGGGAGGGAGAGGAACCTGGGATTAATATGTAAAATAATCTTCTTTCTAATTAAAATAAAAAAGAAGAAGAAGAAGAAGAAGAAAAGAATGACATGGTGGACCTGAGAGAAATTAGGGGGAAGTACATTAAAAGTAAATTGTATTCAGTTCTGAAACAGTTAACACAAATATTATATTAAAACAACCCCAAAAAACTCTGTCCAGTAATTTAATAAGGACCTCATTACTACTCATGTATTTTAAACTTTGCAGCACATACCAATTTTTCTGTTCTTAAATTCAAAATCAAGTTCATTCTAAAATTATTAGTTCTTAAAATAGTTGTCTAAAATGTTGAATTATTTCTAGGTCCTCAAATTGTCACAATATAATGAAAATTTGTTTTGCTTCTTCCTCATGTTACACTCACCCGGTTGCTTTGCCTCCCACCTTGCTGCAAAGCCTCTCCCATGCCTTATGGATTCAGAGTAGAGATGAAAATAGAGAGCATTGCCGCTGCTGTGGACCCGCTGTGGGGGCCTGGAGCCACAGTATCTCCCCAGTGGGAAAGAGGCTGAGGAATCTCCATCGTGGATCTGAAGAAACTCTCGGGGACAGTTATTTGATGATTCTAAGTCAAAAAATGTGAAAGTGATATGCAGAACCTGGAAGAACATAAAAGCATTTCCATGTTAATGCTAAATTGTTTCTTCCACTAGCTAGCAAGCATTTACATAAAGAGATAGAGCCATGGAGCCCTAGTTACTCTCCAAGTGTGCAGCAAGTCTACATGTAAAGGGCTGACTTTAAAAGCACTCAAACCAAATTTTAATTCATATAGAAATATGAAAAGGTCTCTGAGGAGATGGAAATGCTATTTACCCTAATTGATTCATTATATGTTGTAAGCATCATCAATTGATCACAATCATATTGTGTTTAACAAAAAAATGTACTAACACTGTAAATCAACTTGGAAAACTCATAATGAAATAAACAGAGATTGAACTGACTAATCTATCAAGTGTATGGTCAAGAGTGTTTGTAAATAAATAAAAAAGGGAAATGGTCATTTGGAAAAAAAATACACCATAATTGCAAATGTCTGAGATTCACATTCCTGAGATTTTACCCTGAACCCCTGAAGAACCTGTAGAATGTATTCACCCCCATCCCATATTGAGTCCACAGGGGTCTCAGGTTTTCAGCCTAGACTAAGACTCAAATGTGGGGTAAGGAGGCCTGGGGAAGGTCTTCAGGGGCTGGAAACCATCGAAGTGCAAACAGCCCAGAGAGGAAAACAGGAAAAGGGTAGTGTTTAAAGTACTAAGCACAAAAGTAGAACAGAGTGAACAAGTGCACATTTTGAATGTCATAAAATACAAAAGATTTTAAATTGATAGCCCTATTTTAACATAAACATGGGCCTTCGAAAAGAAGGCTGTCAGATTTAATTTTCACCAGAATCTAAAATCACAATAGTCTTCATCTAGGATAAATAATTTCAAGATGTTTTGAAAATTCTGTTAGAATATTTTAATGTTTCCTCTCATTATATTATTTTCTAACTTGAAGAAATTGAAATGGAAATCAAATAAATATTAGTTGTTTATGTTTTCTATTCTACTATATATAAACAACATATGTAAATATATAAAAAAGAATACAAAAAATTATATCAGAAAAAATGGGATACATTTTCTTAAAAATGGTAATATACATATGAAATTTTTCACATAAAATCTTTTCCTTGGAAAAATATATTTTCAATGTCAGGAAATGGAATTCACTAGAACTAAATGGAAGGAAGGAAATTCACACAGCATACCCAGTGGGAAACTTTTCTGGAATTTATTCTATTGTGAAATGACCAAGCTACAACTGGCTGTCCTTCCTTAAGGAAAAATAATATTTTCTCACCCTCACACAATGTTCCCTATAGCATTATTTGCTGGGGAAATTTAATGAGATTTCAAGGGTGAATATTACCTAGTAAGGAATAGAGTAAGTCTAATAATTGCTTTAAAAGAAATACCTTGGAAATCTGAGTATTCAGGAATGGTAAAAATAAAAATCATGGGCTCAGATTGTAGTTTTAAGTGTTCATGTAGGGGCTCAGAGTCATGAACTTTGGAATCAGTTGGCCTGAGGACATTTCTTTTTCTTTCTTTTTTTTTTAAATGCTATTTAAGAAACCACATATCTAGACAAATGTCTCAAATGCTCTAGGCTCTCTTTCTGCATGTATAAAATGGGTTAACAATTCCTAGCTTTAGAGTTTAAAGTACATGGATGGATAAGGAACATATGGTATCAAACATAGATTGAATACTTCCTAAGGAAGTCATCTTAATACCAGTTGCCACCATTTCATGACAGTCCACTGAGGTCTGTGGGCATCTTCAAATACTACTTTTGCAGTAAGAGTATGGTATTACAGATCAACTACAGATCTAACTACAGCTAGAGCACCAATGTTGGGAATCCTTCCTTACCAGAGTACACAAACAAACAAAACACAATGGACTCTACAACCAAACTTTACTGGGATATTTATCTATTCCTCTTATAAACTAGGTAGCATTAAAAAAAAAGGCTTCTCTTATTTTCTGTTATTTCAACTGTAAAATAAAGATTATTTATTTAAATTAATATATATGAAGTTAGAGAAAGATGAACAAAGTGCCTAGCCCAAAGTCCAGCACTCACCAAATATTCAATATATGAGAGCTGAATTATCATCATAAATACATTTATGTGTATGTATACACATGATTATATATGTCACATATATCGAATTTTTAAATGTACAAATGAAATCTGCTTATGGATAACAATTACTATGTTTACCTTTTCCTCATCAGTCCTGACAACCCAGAAACAGTTAACATCATAAACATGAGTATCATTAGGGCTCTGGTAGGCAAAATTTCCTTGTGTCCCTGAGAGGATCCCTCCACAAGCTGAAAAAAAAAAAAAGATGAACTATGTTTTTCATTGATTCTCAAAAGGAAGAGGCCAGGCATCTTCCACTCTGAAATTTCCTCTCCTCTGATCCCTATCAGTTGACATCAAGCCACACCCCACCTTGTATCCACAGTCCATTTCATACCCATCACCTTGTCTGCAAACTTCACTAGACTCCTTTATTTTCTTTGGCTGCCATTCTCCAAACCTTGGTGAACTAAACTTTATCCCGTGACTCAATCACAGTATTAGTTCTGCCATCTCATGCCCCCTTCCAGCTGTTCCACAGCAGGCTTAGCTCCCTGATTATACAGTGAGCAGACAAATTGAGACAATATTTTATGCTTTGATATTTTATCATTGCCCTAAACATGCAGTGAGACCTCAGTGAATGCACTGATTCCAAGGCAGGAGTAAGAAGAGAGAGAGGGTAGAGTAGTTAAAGGAGCCCTGGAGGAGGAGTCTAAGTGTGCTGCCTGAGTAATAGATGCATCTGGATGGGAAATAAAGGAGGGATTTCTGGAGGTCATAAGGAGAAATAGCCCAAATAAAAGAACATAGTGATAATACTCATGGGGTCCATGGAGTCAAATAGCAAAGAAAAATTGCCTGGCTTGAATGAATTTCTAGGGAACTAGAGAAAAACATGGTGATATGGATAAAATGAAGGTTGTTCATGGAAGATTAATGAAAAAACAACCTAAACCTTGATTGATTAGATGATGAAGAACCAATGCATCCACAAATAGGAGAATGATAAATAAAGTAGAAGGGTATTCAGTGAACATTAGATGCCTGCTATGCAGGAAGTGGCCCCCTAGAAAACCGAAAGGGAAGGTCCCGAGTATATGGTACATTCTGAAAGAATATAACAAACATGAAAAACACTAACAATATTTTTGAAGAAAATGTTTCTTGTTTAAAACGAGGCTTATAAACATCCACCTTGTGGATTCTATGTTATTTCTGCAAAGAGAAATCTATGTTTTAACACCTAAACTGGTAAGAAGTCAGGTTACATTGGAAAATATGCAAAAGGCATATTGGCAGACGATGTCCCTAAGCTGAGGGTATCTGTGGTTGAAGGGATGTCTTCCATACCTCTCTGGGGTGTCTGGCAGTAATACCCAGTCCAGGAGCTTGTGCAGTCACAAGTGAAGCCATTGATACCATCGATACAGGTGCCTCCATTCAAACAGGGGCTGCTCACACACTCATTAATGTTTTCTGTGCAGTTGGTTCCAGACCAGCCTGAGTCACACTTACAGAAATAACCAGATACTGTTTCCTAAGGAGAAAATAAATGCATCATACTATAAAACAAATGGACAGACTACATAACAGAACCAAACCAAATCATGAAAAGTAACAGCATGAGGTATATATTTAACAAGAATTAAACTATAGCATATATTCTCCAGTAGAGAAATTCATTAATTACTAAGTACAATTAGTCATACTTATTCCCATAAAATATATAGTTTGCTTAATATTCTGAATAAAAGATAAGTCATGGCTAAGATATAGCTCAAAGTTATAAAGGGCTTAGTGGTTTTGTAAGGGCCAGGATTCGATCCCCAGTACCCATATCAGGCAGTTCACAACTGCCTCTAATTCTAGTTCTAGGAAACATGATGCCTTCTTGCCTCTGCAGACAACTACATGCACACGATGCACACTAGTCCATGCAAGGGCACACATATACACACAAAAATGAATACATCGCCGGGCATTGGTGGCGCACGCCTCCCAGCACTCGGGAAGCAGAGGCAGGTGGATCTCTGTGAGTTCCAGACCAGCCTGGTCTACAAGAGCTTGTTCCAGGACAGCCTCCAAAGCCACAGAGAAACCCTGTCTCGAAAAACCAAAAAAAAAAAAAAAAAATGAATACATCTATAAAAATCAACTTATTGGTTTTCCTGGGAACCAAAGTTACTACCTATCTGTAATCTGTCAATGAGAGACCTTACGATAAAGTTTGAATCGTTATCTTTAAACTTATGAATCATACAAATTAAATAGTGATTATTTGCAAGTTTTTAATCTCCCCAGGAGGAACAAGACTCACTATGCACTGTCCATGTACACACGGATGACTTGAGCAAATATTACTGAGGGGTACACATCCATTTGGCCCAAAACCATTTCCTGTATATCCCGGAAGACAGGTGCAGAGAGGCAAAAACCCTGTTCAGAAATAAAAATGGATATGTAAGTGCAGGGATCCTTGTTTCAGAGACTGTCATGAAACTCAACTCTGGTGTCTAGACAAGAATCCATCGAGGTCAAATGGATCTATTCCTACAGTCAGGTAAGAGAAAGAAAGAGGAGAAAAGATGAAATCTTTGTTTCCCCATTTTATCTTAAAGCACTCCAGGTTTCTAATTTCATATATACATATATATGTATATATATATGATATATATATATATATGTTTGCAGTCATGCTATCATTTCATATGACTGATGATCTAGAGCTACATAAAGATAAGAAGGGAAGGTGAAAAGGAAGCTGGGATTTCTTCATCAGGAAGAGATGCTTAGTAGAAAATAAGAGTTTTATGGCAACAGTGTCTGCTGCAAGCGATATACATCTGTATGTGTCTACACTTAAAGAGAGATTGCTCAGTCCTCTAGACAAACCTATAAACAGATACTGCTATAAATATTTGTATTTTTTACAGATAAAAACAGACCATTTGCAGATTGTTCTAACCAAGAACACAAAGTGTGAATGTAAGAGTCAAGAGTCAAGAGAAACTTTAAGGGTGTGGCCCCAGGTGCTGCACAGGATTAGCACACAATGGGCAGCTTTCATATTCTAGGCACATACACATGCAGACTACACCTATATACTATTTCATTGAAAAATGAAATATAAGGCATTCAAAGGAATTTTTCAGTGAAATCACAGATTAAAATAATATAGTAACACAATCAACAAAATGCAAACACCAATGTTTCTTCAACAGTTTTTCCAAGCTCTTTGCTTCCATGTTAGAAAATTCAAGCAATGACAGTCTAAACAGTCAAAGGAAGAAGTTGGTCAAAAGAGCAAAATGATTGAATCTTTCAGTATCACTAATAATTATGACATGAATGAGATAAAAGCTAAAGATGATATTAGAACATGTGTGAATATATATGCTCATCTATATGTGCACATTAAATGTGCATTAGTAAAAATAAAAATGAAAATTTGAAAAATCAAGGAATGATATATATTATTTAATAGAAGAGGTTAAGTCTATCCATTTGGACAAAAATAGTCTAGGTTTCCATTTGGTGCATAAGTGAACAATAAATTCTAAAACTGTCAAAGATCTGGATGTAGCAAAAGAAAACATAAGAAGAACACAACTAGATGATTTTTAAAGAGTTCAGTAGGAAAGAACTTCTCAACATGATGCCAACACAAGAAAAATAAGGAAACTGATTTATTCTTTGGCTATGAAATTCTTAAGCTTCTAAATAGAAAATAACAGGGCAAAGCTATGAGAACAACATGATATGCAGAAAGTACTGGGAAGATGATTTCCTTAGTATAAATGAAAATTGCAAATTAATAAGAAAGCAGATGAGCATGTAAAAATAGAAAAGGTGATCAATAAAAATGTGAACATTATTATTCATTAGTCACACAAATGCACAGTTTAAAAGAAATAAGCAATAAGCTAGGTACCAGTGGCACTCACCTTTAATCTCTGTACTTAGAAGGCAGAGGCAGGGGGATCTCTGTGAGTCTGAGTCCAGTCTGGTCTACAGAGTGAGTTAGTTCTAGGACAACCAGGGCTACACACAGAGAAACCTTGTCTCAAACAAACAAACAAACAAACAAAAGAACAATTAACTGTTGGCTATAAAATGTATCAAGCCAAAAAATGATAGCTGTGATTGTCAGAGCTGGGGTACATAAACCTTTCACTAGCTGTTGGCTGGGACATACAATGATACAATTCTCAGAGCGGTGTGTTGTTGCATAGATGAGCTGGCCCTCTTTTATGCAGTACCACACCAACTATACAGTAAGATTCACTTCCCCTTTCCTAGAAGTAAACTCCTTCTTTTAGCTGGATTCATGATGATTGAAATAAATGCTATATATTCTCTGCTGTCAGGTGTTGCCAGATGGCAAATTCCAGCCAATGGCACAGAAATAAGGGTCAAAAAGAAAGTGGCATGTCCTTCCCTTTCTCCATCCTGTTTACAAATCATGAATTGATTATTTGGATTAATTAACATGGGAAACAAATTCTAGACAAAGTAGATCATTCAAGGATACCAGATTGTTTCCATTTCAACATGTATAGGGTTTGGAGATGGGTTGGATTTTTGTTGGAAGGTAAAAATAAGAATTTTGACAGTTGTAAATGGTAGTTCATGCTTATAACATCAGCACTTGGGAGGCTGAGGCTGGAGGATTGTATGATTTCAAGGTCAGCTGGGCTACAGAGTGAGACTTTTCTCTCCCCCAAAGGCATTTCAAGGAGAAAAAGAAAACCACTTATTTTTAGAATATTGAATTGTTGAGAGGGTTTGACTGAAACATCCAAGGACAAAGAGGGGAGAGTGATTACCAAGAGATGAGGAGCAGGACGCATCTGGGTGGCAGCCTCCGTTATTGATCAAGCAGATGTCCAAGGGCGTGCACTGTCTCCCGTCACCACTGAAACCTGACCAAAGCACACAGAGGCTGAGAATCAATGTCAAGAACTTCTTCGAGACTAGTTCTATATTATACTAGAGGACAGCCAGAATGACCTCTTTCCACAAGAAAAAGGAAACTAACAAGTATGATGTCTGTGAATCTAATCTGTGAGCAGTTCACAAGTGCATGCATTAAATAAATACATATGTATGGTAACACAGGAGTGCATTTCCCCATCCTGTGTTTTCTCACTGTTTGCTGTTGCTGCTGGCATTGCTTTCTATTCCTTTCTCACATTGCTGTACTATTGCATGCTGAGTATACCCCTTACATTAAACATTCTAGACCTTTCCTTTCCTTTTCTTAGAAATCATTCTAAAGCAAGCACAGATTCTATTTTAAGTGTATTGGCAGGGGTGGCATCAGGAAGCCCAGTGCAGTACCTGGTGGGCAGTTCCCACAGGTGAAAGATCCAGGCGTGTTCTGACAGGGGACAAATGGAGCCATAGAGCAGCCTCCATTGTTTATGTCACATTCATTGATATCGTGACATTCATAACCATTTCCTTGCCAGCCTAGAAAAAATATTGAGAATATTTGCAAGATTAGCACTGTCAACTTAACAAGGAAGAAATACAGATAGTTAAGACATCCACAAAATAGTTCTGGGTTGGCAACATGGCTCAGTAGTTAAAGATGCTTACCACTAAGGCTATCATCTGAGTTCAATCCCTGGAACACACATGCTAGAAGGAGAGAACTAACTCCAATTTTTCCTCTGACCTCAATAAGAATGTTATGGAATATACTCTAAACACAAGTTAATCAATTAATATTTAAATATTTAAAGAATGATAAAAATTAATGAAGAAAATTTTGTTCTATGCAAAACTATAGATTAAGATGAGAGATTCCTAACAGGTTGCCCAAAAATTATTCTAAATGTATAAAATCTAATTCTGACAAGGTGGTGGGTAAAATGGGGTTCTCCTGTAGACTATTGATTGGATATTAGTAAAAATATGAATTGCTTAAAACTGTGCCCATGTTTCTACAAGAAAGAGTCATCTTTAGATAATTGTGTTGTAGTCAATCATGATAACATTACTATTATTCTCATGATTCATTATCATAATAATCATGTTTAAATGTCTTCAAATCTTTAGCATGCTTATAATGTTGGATCTAAGTGAGGTAACCCTTCTTATACTGACAAGGAAATTATCATGTCTGAGGATGGATAGGTTGGAAGTGTACTCTGCCTCTAATGGTGACCTTCAAGACATGGTACCTTGCTTCCCTTTTTTACGGGCATTCTTGTAGTTCCTTACATTTGTAAGCAGCATGTAGAAAAGACTTGGGGAAAATGTAGTGATTAAAAACAAACAAAAAAAATGCTTTCAATTTCTTTCCAATAAGTTTCTGTTTCTGGCTGTTTTCTTCAAATAAGAAAAAGAAGAATTAAGCAAATGCTGCCTGTTCTCTAATTTAAACCATCTGTTTCTCTGATTTCTATCACTTAAAGATTGTCATCATAAATTACCTTCAAGAATTCAGCTATTTGCAAGTTTTGCCCCACAAGAGATAGGGGGAGTCCTTCCTTCTCCTTAGCTTTGCTAGTTCTAAACCAGCACCATGCAGGCACTCACTGAACTACACTGAAAGCACTAGGTGTGCAAGTGCCTTGGTGTGACAGTGACAGGATGCACTGGCAGCTCAGCTCAGATCGAGGGCCAGGCAGACCTGGATCTGGATCTGTCCTACTGCAAGCTTTGTGTACTTGGAGAAGTTATTTAATCTCTTCAAGCCTCAACTCCTCATATATAAAACGTAAACAGTCCTCTTACCATGATTTGGCATTTGTTGTAGCTGTAGAACTGTAACACTTGGCTGCATTTAAAGGGTGCTTTAATGGCATTTGCATGAAAGAATAGCTGTTGTTATGATCTTCCATCTATGAGCCACTCTCTAAGTCTATCCAGGAGTAGAAAGTGGTCCTACAAGCTCCCTGAGGTCTGGGTCACAGCTAACCTACATTCCAGCACAGTGCTTTGTTCATGGCACACATCCTACAAATCTGTGCCAAGTGGTATTAGTGATCATGTGTCATTAAAAGAGGAAGCATGGGATTCAAACTTGGGCCTTCTCTGAGTACCAGGTTCAGATTCTTCAGCAACTCAACACAATGGCTTCCCTTAAAGATTCTGTTCTCAGGCCTGAGAAAACTGACTACCTCTCTTATTGCAAGGATATGGAATATTCAAGGACACACAAAAGCAAGAATTACTGGTTTATAGTGGAGACACAAAATAATCAAGGAATTTAGCCAAATTTACAAATAGCTGGTTAGTAGAAGTGGGGTTATAGTGCATGGCTTTTAACCACTGGTCTAGCCAGCTGACAGTCACCACGTGCAAGATTAGACCCTTCAAATTCTATGTCTAGTTGTGCTCCAAGGTAGGATGTCAGCACTCTGACATGTCTCCCGGATCCACCAGGGACCTGCTCTAGCAATGATATGATCTTGAGTAGGACATGTAGCTAACACTTCTAAAAAAAGGATCTTCTTATCTATCATTAGTAGAGGGAAATTGATTCTGGTACTTTGTCTGTGTGGTATTCAGAGCCTAGCATGTGTCACTAAGAATGTACCTTTTGGGCAGGCCCCACAATAGAAAGAGCCTGGGGTGTTGAAACACTGCACATGGTCTGCACAAGGTGAAGGCTGGAGGCTGCATTCATCTTTGTCCTCTGTGCAGGCGATGCCATTTGGTGCCGTTGTCCACCCAGCATCACAGATGCAGCTAAATTTTGGCTGGCAGGAAAACAATAAAGTAAGTAAACAACTAGGAAGAAGAGAGAATCTCACCCAACCCCAAACTGTTTATTGGCTAACATTCATTTCCATCAGGCCAGCTGAATGGGTTCTTTTCCTTCCCATATGATTTAAGCATTTAAACTAGACCATGGAGAAGAGAACATCTTTATTTCAGAATAAGAGGATCCTATAATTTATCCCCAAGATGCCCAGGAGAGAGCAACAATAATCAAGAGCTATAATTAAAGTCAATGAACTCAGCTTTGTTTTTAAAGGTATAAACACCAAGTAGGCACAGACTTAGGACAATCATTTCCTTTTTGAAAATTCCTTCTCTTCCCCTACCTCTCCCTTCATTCCTTCCCCTACTGCCCTACTGATAGAAGGAACTTCTATCACACAATAAATCTCAAAATAAATTAAGAATAAATAACTAAAATTCTTATACAAAATAAAACTGGCCAGGCTAACCTGAGCATTAGGCATACAGGACCCAGAGCACAGAGGGACACCAAAGATAGAAACCCATAAAGTCTGCACCACTCATGGGGGGAGGAGGGACTCAAGGCCAGAACAATCAAGACATAAGCTGCTTTGTCAAGACAGCCTGTAAGGTCTGCATGTCTCATCACTGTTAGACCCACAGGTTAGGTGCCATGCCTCATGGAGAGACTCATGAAGGAATAATAAGTTTCATAATTTTTGTGATGGACTTATTTTCTATTTTCTGAGTCCAGTTTTCTGTGTATGACATCTCCCTCCTTTCCTGTATGCGTCCTGTTAAGGGATGGAAGTGATTTCACCTCTACAGTCCCTCCCAGCTCCGTGCTGGTACAGAGTCACCAACAGGATGTGGGAAGACCAGGGCTTCCACACGGAGCACTGAGGGAAAAGACACACCTGTCCATGTTGCACGCGCTCCAAGTCCTCACAGATGCCATGCTTACAGAGCTGCTTAGAGCCCTGTTCACAGTCATTGTATTTGGATGCACACTGGGGTCCATACGTATCAGGCGTGCATTCACATCTGTTGGTTACACAAGAGCACAGTGTCAGGGCTTGCGTTTTTATTACAAAAAGCTGTCTATTAGCATCAGTAAGAAATGTCCACATTGCAAACCAATACTGTTAATGATAAACCAGCACTGCAGCTTTGTCAGCTGCAGCCTTGGAATAAAATTCTCCAGTTCCCCAAGCAGAGCATTGAGTGAACATGTTATCTTTGCAAATCAACTTAGAGAATCACCACTCAGTTTCACCCATCGTTTACAGACATCTGACCTTTGAAAGTACTGTTTGATGAGTTGAGATTAAAAGAATTTATTGCTGTAACTCCATGAAACATTGAGCATTTCTTATACACATTTAAGCATTTGACTCATTGTTAAATATGTTTCTGTCTGATCCATATATTTGACGTGTAAAAAAAAATCAGAACCAATCATTACAAGTTTTTCTAAATGTATTTCCCATGTAAGAGAATGTTTGGGAACACCTGGGACTTAGTGACACAGATTTAAATTCTGAACAAACATATTCACTGTTCGCTTCTGACTACTACTAATTCAAGACCCTTCTAAAGGCATTCCTCTCTAGCAAGTACTCTTAGGTGTGTTTCTCTCACAGCTAAGGACTTAATCACTGGACAATTGCTTAAGGTGGCAGAGCATATTGTGGTCATGCACCCGAGGGCAACCCTCTCTCCTTGGTTCCCACTGCCTTCTGCCTAACTATTATCACTTGGAGATGAGTGTACACTAAACTTAGACTCTTTTTAACCACATACAATGTATACTTCTTTCATATAAATTTAGATTATAAAGAGGAGGAAGAGGTGGAAAATAAACCAAGTAAACTACAGGCTTCCTTGTCATGATCTTCAAAGGCAAATTCTTTAATCTTATTTTTACAGATATGCATTGCCTACAGCTACAGAGCTAATATCTGAGAGAAGCCAAATAAAAACCCAAGTCTGTTTTACTCCAGCTCCATTATTTTTCCATGCCACCTTTATGTTCTCATGAATAAAGTAAATATGAAGACTTTACAATTATGCTTTTTTAATATAACAGTATTTGCATGTAAAGTATGTTTTCAAAGTGACTCAGTATGGCTTTTGAAGGAAAAGGGTAAATCATCGTACAAATACCTGTGAAGCAATAATAAAAGCCATATGTATTTTACAACCACCTTACCGATATTCCTGCCTTTGAGATAAATTCCTTTTAAATTTTATTTATTGTGTGTGTATATGATGTGTGGGTTTGAGTGTGGGTATGGGCATACCACAGTGTGTGTATTGAGATCAGGAGTCAATTTTCTTCTGTCATAGGATTCAGGGATCCTATAAGGTCATCACTTTTTTTCCTCAGCAATATGTCTAACTGCTGAGCCCTTCATTACTAGTTCTTGCAAAAGTCTTTTATATTTAGTTTTATTCTAGGTGAATAAAACTAGGCTTTCCAGTCCTGAGGAACTATAAATGCACCAGTCAATTGAGAAGATGCCAAATATCCTTCCATAGCCTTAGATAACCTGTTTTAGAGTCCATGGCTCAATATCAGTATACTGAGTAACTGAAAGAGATAATAAATTTAATACTTAACTAACAGGATTATGCTTTACAATCTACCAATGATATGGAGATAAAATAAGATATACCAAATCAGCTTCGTATGCCTGGGGAACAAACACAGCATGTTTTCTTCCTAGAAAGCATAGTAGAGCTATAAGCTAAGTGCATATACCATCTACCGATGTCTATATGTCAGACATCAAGAGCTGTGTTACACATAAAGCAAGTCAGGAAACAATCAGAAGCAACGTTTACAATGAAGATGAAACAATAACACGAGGAAGGGAAAACCCGTCTTTCTATTAGCTCGCATAGTAGCTGGAGGCAGGACTCAAGCCACAAGAATTAGTGCAAGCAGATAGTTTTACCTCATCCTACTCTCACCCCTCTAAAGAAGAATTTTTACGAAAAAAAAAATTGACAAAAAAACAGGGATCCCCAATTCATCAGGACTTGCATAGTGCCTCATCTTCTCAAAGGTATTTATAATTATGCATTATTAATCTTGTTAAGATTAATTGTTAAGAATTCCATTTCCCCCAACTAAATTGACTCACAGAGTTTTTTTTTTTTTAACTTGAGGTGGTGCCAGCTCTGCCCACCACACCCACACTCTGCAGATCCAGATCATTCAACAGCAGCTTGTGTTTTCCTTATCAAACCCATGCAGCGGTTTCCCAAAGGGGTTTCTAACCTCAATGAAACTACTGATTATTAAGCATTTTAACCTCACATAATTAGCAGAATTCAATAAATGGTTAAGTGTTCACTGTTTTATTACATGCTGATTCACAAAGTAATAACTAGATTTTACACTCATGAGCATTACATACCCTATTTTATTCCTTCAAGGTATTACTTAAGGATAGGGAAATGGCTTAGCCAGTGAATTGTTTGTCTTGTAAGCATGATTCCATGCCCAGAATCAATTTTTTTAAAAAAGGTTTAGGCACAGTTTCTTGTGCCTGTAATCTTGGTCTGGGGGCAGGAGAGTCTTGCTGAACAGTCAGCCTAATCTACATGGCGTTTTCCAATTCAATGAGAGACTCTGCCTCAAAAAACAAGATGAGGGGCTAGAGAGATGACTTGCTGATCTTCCAGAGTACCTAGGTTTGATTCCCAGCATCCACAAGGCAGTTCACAATCATCTGTAACTCCAAATACAGGGATAAAATTCCTCTTTGGCCTTTGTGGGCACCAGGTATGCATGGTAGTGCACAGACAAACATATAGACAAAGCACCCAGGCACATAACATGAAATAATAATAAAACTTACAAAAAGAAACCAAGGTGGATGGCACCTGAGGAGAGACACCTGGGGTTGTTCTCTGGCTTCCATATACATGGGTGTTCACTTGTGAACAGCCATGTATGCATACTTTACACAGAAACACACACACACACACACACACACACACACACACACACACACACACACACTATGGGACACACCTGAATTCATGTGCTTAAGATACACGTACTTAAGTGGGATTCCCAGGGTCTCATAAACTATTCTCATACCAAGAAGAGGGCATGGCTAAATGTTCTGCCCTCTAAGGCTCCTCAGCAAAGCAATGAAGGGTAGAGACTAGAGGCAATAAACAGCCCAGAGTCACAAGAAGTCCCTGTGCTCTCCTTTACACTGGGAACAAGAAGTCTAATACTATCTTGCAAAGGGACACTACCAACGAGAAAACGCTCCCAACAAATAAACTTTTTATCTCCCTTTCTCCTTTCCCTGCCACTCACTCTCTCATTCTCTCCCTCTTCCTCTCACCTTTCCTTGTGTGTATCTTATCCTTAACACGCAATGGAGAGTTTTGAATTGTGTAGGCTACAGGCTCCCACCTCCTTTCCACTTTAATAGGGGTAGAAATAAAAATAAAAATGCTCTGTAAAGCAACAGCAGTGGCTTGTGTGGATGGCTCCTGTTCCACCCACACAATCTTCACTTTATTGGCACAGAATACACCAAATGACAGTGATGATTAAGGAAGATTGGAATCCTATCTAATCTATAGAATATTACTAGATACTATATGTGGTAGGAGGAGTCAGGTTGGGACAATTGTCACTAATATCTCCAAGTGGAATTTCTGCTTGATAGATACCCATAAACAGAAACCATGAAATGATGCTCTCAAGAGAATCAGCTGGAGCCAGCAGGTGAATGACAGCAGCGACATCAGCGTCTTTCAGTTAGATCCAAAGTCTAAATAGCAAAGTCCTCAAATGAGTTCACTGGCTGTTCCTTCAAAGACGTGGCTTTTGTTAATGCCTCAGCTCATGGTGCCCCATGGTAAGGCCTCTCAGATCACATAGTGTTAGACTTAAGGTAGAGGTCATTGCAGGTTTTGCATAATAATTGAATTTATAAACATGTCTAGCAGAAGTTTGCATGAGTGGAGTTTATTAACCTAGATTAAGCCTTTATCGCTCTGATCCTTGCTCAGGAATCAGCTCAGCTTGCACCATGCTCTGCTGACTGCTCTGTGGCAGTCATAGTGGCCTTCTTTCTCAGAGATGCTGCCAAAATGATTTCTTCATGGGGTGAAAGGTTTTTATTCATTTGAGCAAAAATATCTATGGATATGTTCAATAGAAGTCAAGTAATTCCTATGAGACACCTAGTTTTTCTGGTACTATAGATATTAATTTTGATACTTTTATTATTTGGTGTTCTTCTCCTTCAGAAATACAGGTGACATTTTCAAGAAAGTTACCTGAAACTCCCCACTGTATTCACACAGGTGGATCCAGTCTGGCAGCCAAAGGGTGTTCCCGAGTAAATCGCACACTCATTAACATCATCTGAGCAGAAAAGACCCTGCAGAGATGTAAAGAACTCAGTCAGGTGCCATAGGACATGGGCTTTTATGAAATAATATTTACATAATATATATAATGACTTAATGTGGGTGGTAACTCCTTGGTAAGGCCAAAAACAATATTACTAATATTAACCTTGGGCTAAGAGTCCTCTAGAGTTCAGATTGGACCCAGTGGAACCAAGGAGCTCCTCACAAGTGAGAGCACAGTGGCCACACAAGGAGAATTCTTTGATAGAGGAGTCCTGGGACAGTTACTTAGTGATCTTTGTGTTGATGTCTGCTAGTAGTGTTCTCATTAACGCTATGCTCTCCAGTGCTGACCTGCTGAAGTCAATGCTAACAGCCCTACCACGCCCTACCTTTTACTTATCCATTTGAGAGAGCTGCTCTAGATGGCCCGGGACTAAGTGGGTTAAATAGTCAACTTTCCCTCCATTTGGCACAATTCATTCTGACCCTGGAGATCACAGAATCCCAGAAACTGGTGGATAATTATGTCTGTCTGAATGAGTTCAAAGACACCGATGCTGACTCACCTGCCTGCAGTTCTTTGATTTTTAAGTCAAAGACAACGTGACTCACCTCCCACTGCGGAGGGCAGATACAGAAAAAGGAGTTGTGCAGATTGACGCAGGTGCCACCATTGCGGCAGGGATTACTACTGCAAACCTTCCTCTCGACATTCTGAAAAACAACAGGGCAGCAAAGTCAGTGAGAGAATGGTACTTGTTCTCAGCACACAGTACAGGGCAGGCTTCAGTTCGGGTGAGGGCTTCTTCCAGACTTCCTCCAATGACTCACATTCCCCTTCAAGTCATTTCTCTTGTGAAAATATCAATCGTGCCCATTTTCCTTAACACTACAGATTTTAGACATGGATGGAGAGATGACTCCCTGTTCCTTTGATGCATCCATCATTCATCTGAGAAATGCATGCTACTAGATAAGAATAAAGCTTTCAAGTGAGGATGTCAGAATGGATGTTCCTATTGCACTAAGAAAATAAAGTGGAAATTTCCATCCTTTTGCTTAGTGGTCTTATCTCAGTTACCTCTTGATAAGCCTTTGAAAGCTGATCATCTTTTATTACCACCCCTCCTGCCATTGACTCAGATGACTGAACTCTTTTCTCTCCAAGCCCCTTTGTTTGAAATGTGGCCAGCAAAGATACACCTTCTGCCCTCTGCTCACCTGACTGCCTTTAGACCAGCACTACAAACAAGCCTACCTTTGTCCACACAGAGGTAGATCCCACAAGGGGATCTCACCCTTTGTCAACTACCACTTTTGGTTCTGTACAATTTGTGAAGACTTGGGGGTGCAGAGGTAACTGCTTCATGGAGGACAAGTAATGATGTAGTCAGGGTAATTTACTATATTGGCTTTAGTAAAATTCTGTTTAAAACAGGGACAGAGTGTTCATTGTATCCATACACATGTATAGCCAAAGGCTCAGAGCAAATCGACTTGGGTCTGTGGATAAATTCAGAGCTAGATCAGCAGCTGGCCCAACGCTCTTTCCTGCACAGCACATTCTTCCTCTGCCCTTGTCCTGAATACAGGACTACGTGTGTGTCTCTACGTTTTGAACTCTGCTTTCTTCCCTCGTTTGATTTGTCTTTGTTTCAGAACCACAATGAGTTGTGTCCATTAAAGGATCAACGGACATTATTAAGAACATTTGCTACAAACTTAGGAGTCTTCTGGTGAACAAAAGCAATGCTGTCCAGGGATTAAAATGCCAGAGATTGTGGGGATCCAGCTGGGAGGGAAATCAGCTAACCGTTAGGAGGAAGACAATGGAGAGCAGCTGTGCTGTCCATGGAGCCCTTGTCCTATCCAAAAGCAGAAAGAAACCGACATTTGAAATCACTAAAAACTTGTCCTGGGTGCTGGGGGAGGGGACAACAGAACCTCATTCTAATCATAATCTTTGGTTCTTGATCAGTAGTGAAATTTGGAAGCACTGTAGGAGTTAGGAAACCCCCATACTGCTTTGCTCCACAGCACTCACTGTTCATTCAACTGTGCACAGCTTTTCCCTGAAGTGATGGAGGCTGAGGTACAATCCATTGTCAGTGGTAAAAAGGGAGCATGAACCTGTTCATCAAACTTAACTCCCAAAGTAGGAGACAATGCTTGAATCACCATGGAAATAAATTGTGATGATTAGAGCAGATACTATTAATTGGAAATTGCAATTAATTCTATACATTTGAGGGGGAAAGAAGGTTATGGTTTCAACAGAAGCCTTAGTCATTTACCTGCGAGGAAGGTGAATGGCATAAACTCACATAGTTAGGCCTACCTACACATGGCAAAGTTAGAGGGTATTTGCTCTGGGAAGTGCTTCAAGCTGAAGCACTTGTTTTAAGGAAACTAAGAACATTGTGCACACCCCCGGGGTTTGCAACTCAATGTGAAGAGGCTATGTGGCTTTTTGAGCCCCAGTTATTGATGATAACTGGGAAATCCCTAGCTGCCTAAGAGTACACAAGTAAGGCCACAGCAGCATGGCTAAAAGAGGGCAGTTAAGGGAGGGGCCTGAGGACTGTGAACTCCTAGGGGACATAAGTTGGAACAGGAATCAAACAATGGGAAATCAAGCCTTTGATACTGACCATCTATCCCTTACAATAAGACTACTGGCTTGTTATTTATTTATGTATTTAGATTTTCTTTTTAGGCAAGGTCACACTATGAATCCCAAGCTGGTTTTAACTCACTCCATACTCCAATCTCTCAATCCTCCTGCTCAATCTCCTGAGCACTAGGGTTACAGTGGAGTAACAGCCATTTCTGCCTTAGAAAAGATGTTTATATATTTTCAGTGAATGTCTAGTCACAGGACTTACCTGCTGCAATCTCTGAAAATTTCTCTCAAGATCCACAAGCTGTAGAAGAGAATGCATCAATTAGCTAGTGCAGACATTTCACATGTGATGTTGACCTTTGTGCTTCTCCCTTGGGACTCTGCTTTGTTTCCCCTCCTTATTTCCCTCCTTTCCGGGATTCCTTTTCATCCTATTCTCTCTGCCCCCCCCACCCCGAGTAAATTTTTAAAGGTCTGATAAGCTGACTCACTGCTTCTTTCACACAGTGATTGTAGCACAAACGGCAGTGATAACCCCCTCCATCAGTAAGGATGGCGCTATCGCTATCAGGACGCCAGCAAAGCCAAGCCTTGCAAAAAGTCCCCGTCGTAGCACTTACTGCCTTCTGTCTGCCACCACTCCTTACCCTTCAATTACATTTCTACCCTTTAACCCCAAAGTTCAAAATTACATTATAAATATCTAAAGGTGGAATGGAGTTGATACATCACCTGAAAAGTGCACTACTTACTAAGCAAGAACTCATTTGCTCTTACGGTGTGTGCCTTACCTTGGAGTTAAGTTGGTGGACTTGACTAAGTAAATTCTGAGGAAGACCAGTTGCATTCCTCTTTAAGTCTAAAATGTCATCTTTGTTTCTCTGAATCTAATTTTAAAAAGAAATGAAGAACAAGGAGATGAATAACAGTAGGGAAAGAACATTTCCATCTTACAAGAGCAAGCATTAAAGCCTTGTCTATTATAAGTCCCAGAGCAATGCCACACAGAATAATAATTAGACCAAAATAGGTATGCACAATCCCATTGACTCTCTTCTATAGCAATATACCAATGCTGTTTCTAGATGCATTCCCATGATATTCTAATATTGTAGGGTGCTTATTATTAAGAAGCACGGTAGCTGGAGATATAGCTCAATGATAGAGAGCTTGCCTAATACATAAAAATTGCGGGTTCAGTCCCCAATACCACAACAATGTATCGTTTTGGATGAGACTTTTTGAATTTTAAATCTTGCCTCAATCATTTATTGTGTGTCTTTTGGATATTAAAAATTGGTTTAATCACACTTGTAGCTCATGAGTGGAGTAATAATGAATGCCTTCATGGGGGAAGTCCTGAGAGTCAAACCATACAACACACAACCAGTGTGTGACCCAGTCACAGCTCTAAAAGCTGGCTCTAACATGATGGATGACATACAGCATGCTGTCCTCAATACTGAGAACTGAAAACACTCAACAGCATGGGAGTGAGTGACCCCTCTGATGTGGCAAAGGCGCTGCTGAACATATCTGCGCTTGCCTCGGGTCCACTCCACATTTCCCTCCCCAGCAGAGGAACTGTGTTTTTTTTTTTCTTTCTGTATCTGCCTGGACTGTGGAGTCCAACCCTGCACAGTGAGCCTCTCCTTTTGGCATGGATCCCTCTCTCCCCACCATGAAGCCTTCATACAGCTTCTTTCTAAGAACTTGTCTTCCAGTTGTGCTCTCTATGCTCAAGACTCAAGGTGCTGACTAATACTGAGTTGGACAACTAAGTTATAGCAGGTGGACATACAAAGCAACATCTATATTTTTCCAGTGCATTACCTGATGTATACATTCACCAAGGTCTTCATTGTTTAATTTGACTTTTCCCAGGGATCCAGTTCTAAATTCAATGTTTTGAGCAGAGCTTGTAAGAAACACTAAGTTTCCACCCTCTGTGGTCATTCGTGGCCTATACAATTCAACGAGAGAATTTATCAGTAATTAGCACATCTAGTTTTAAATTTTAAGCCAGTTTCTGGCTAAATAACAATAGACTTTCTATATCTTCACCTTGCATTCCACCCGGCCAAAACTTCTCTGTCTATCATTCATTCTCTGAGAATTTCTTAATGATCATTTCCAGGAATTGCAGATGTGACTCATTTGCAAGTGGGCAAAGAATAATTGTGAATAAGAAACAATTCCTTATACTAGCACCACTCTTCTCCCTCTTGGCTTATCACCATCATTGCTTTCCTCCAGAAACACTGCACTCCTGCTTCTCTGGTTACTTGTGACAGACAGCAAGGACATACCCCAGTCCATTAGTAGAAATGAGCCGAGAGTCTACTTACTGGTGAAGATCAGCTATCCTTTTCTGTTGCTTCTGCTTAGGTTCTCCGGTTGTGCCATGTAATTTGGCTATCATCAATAAAGTAACAAAACCCCAGAGAAAATGTGGGGACATGTTTCTCACCAGCCTCCCAGCTCGCCAGGCAAGAGGGAGACCACTCCAGCCAACTGAGTCTGGGAATTTGAGAGCGGCAAACTGGAGGCTGTACTTTGATCAGTGGAATATTCTTTAACTTTCCGGGCTTTCCAAGAAGGCTTAAGTTATTTTGTCCTTCCTGAGGAATGTCAATGATCTTAGATCTCCAGTACTGTTCAACTCGCAAGGGGTCAAAATCTATCTTAAGTGATGTACAACTTAATCAGTATTTGTTTAACCTTTGAAACAGTAACCAGCAGCTTTGGAAAGATCCACGGGAAGAATCCTTGCTTGGAAGACGCTCCGCTTTTGGCAAATAGTGGTGGAGAAATAGAATTTCTGCAAAAAGAAAATTTTTTTTTAGCACATACCATGCATAAATGTTACTGCTAAATGCTCTTCAAAGACCAAAATTTAAGAACTAAAACTATAAGAACTAATAGCAGAAAACAGGGGGAAAACAATGCCTCTGAATGTGGAATCATTTCTTGTCCCAGAACAACAAAAATAAGAGCAGTAAAAGGAAAAGGAAACCAGAAAAGAGTCTATGTCAAAATTCAAAGCTGTTGCACACCAGCAAAGACACTTTCCAAGAGAATTAAAAGGTGACTTGTGAGGGAACTACCTTTCATCAGTGGGAAGCTACTGTGGAGGTGCTTTGGCTCTGGGAAATAATCCCTACCCATGTTCCTGTAACTCTAATTAAACTCAGCAGGGCGCATCCACAGAAAGGCATGGAAATAGGAAGGGGGCTTGTTAGGAAGAAGGGGCTCAGTGAGAAGAAGATAGGAGAGGGCAGTGGGGGTGAGTTTGACCAAAATGCAGCATGCACATATATGAAATTGCCACAGAAGAAATAAAAATATTTTAAAGTCACTCAAAGAATTGGAGGAAATATTTGGAAACCATAAATAACAAAAGATTAATATCCAGTATTTAAAAATATATCCCACAATTCAACAGCAAAACAAACAACACAATTTTTTAAAAAGAACAAAGGAGCATCCCCTCAGAAAAGACTTACAAACATTCACAAAGATACAGTTGACATCTATACTCACTGGGGGAATCCAAAACAAAACCACAATGAGCTATAACTTCATCATTTGGCTGTATCCAAAACCACCCAGAACTGAAATGTTTCCAGAACTACTAGAACCTAAGACCCTTTTTAAGAAGTGGATTATTTCAGGATTAGGCCTTTGGTTAAAACCACAACGTTTGTGGGACATGACTAGAAAAAATGAGAGAGTAGCAAAAAGTTTGAATAAGTCAAATATTTTTTTTGGCAAAAGAGAAAAATAAAATTATCAGAGATGGAGCCAAAGAAGTGGGTATGTCTTATGCTATTGCTACAATGAGGGGATGTAGCCTTTGCTGTTGCTACAGTTCTGGGCTCACTATGTGCCAATCTCTATGTTGGAATTTACATGGGTTCTATCAATTCACCCTTATGACAGACAGGAAATTTTTTTTCCTAGAGGTTAATTTCTTTAGACCTTTACTACTGCCTCCTAATTTTACCCTTAGTTAATTGGATTTTATTTCACTGAGCTGGTATTTCTAGAAGACTTATGTTATGTGAGACTGTATTATGCATTGGGAAATGTCTGTTAATGAAAGGAACTTTAATTCTGGGGTAAGAAGACAAAAAAGAATGCAAAGAAATAAATGTACAGACTACTCTCAAATAAAATAAGTAGGATAAAAGGGTGATAAGGCATAAAGATACTGGAGGAAAAGGACATACCTACCATATGTGCCCTGAGGAGGTGGCACTCAGGGAATCTCCTGAAAACTGTTGACACCCACTAGTATCTGTGAATCCCAATCTCTGGGTCCCAGGACTGTTGACTTTTCCTCTTCTACTAAGACATATAGACTGGCTACAGAATCTACTACTCAGCTTCCACACTGGGCTGGACTCTCTTTCAGCTGAATTACACAGTTTGACAGCATAGGCCATGCATGTCCCTCTCTGATTCTGTGTGGAAACTACAAGAACTACTTGGAATTGTAAAGGGCGTGTTATATTGTATTTAGAGAGGTCCTGATTAGTTACTGATGCACTCTAACCGCTCACGAACACACAGTAAAACATATACAAAAACAAATTTGAAATTTGAGGAACAACCACATTAAAAACTCAACTCTAAAGATACCTCTTGGTAATTACCATTGTATTGATTAATGTGCACATAATTAAATGGATGCTCTGTGGTCAGGGATGATTGCACAGCACAGTATACAACATACTTTGTCTATATTATTCAGATATTTACTACTTTTATTTTGGTTTTAAAGCCTTCCAAATTTCTCCTGCATATTTGGGTGTTGCTATCTTGCTTTGTTTTTTGAGACATGGTCTCACAATGTGACCTGCTGCCTTCACATCTGAGATGTTCCTACTCAAACACAGCAAATGCTGACATTACTACTATATGACCATGGGCAGAACTGTATAACCTTTAGTTTTTCATTCATTCACTAACCAGTGTGCTTTTAGAGTTTAGCCCTTTGGTTGGTTTTGCCATGGATTGCATTCTCTTTATTATAGATGAGCATTTCATTGTATTTCATGCCTCTGCTTGCCTATCTAGTCATCAGCCAAACTGAATGGGTTCCAGTTCAGCATTATCATAAATAAAACAATTATAAACATTTTGGAAGGTCTGTGTGTCAATGCGCATTTTTCATTTCTTTCTGGTAAATCTTAAAGGTGATTGCTGAGACATGGTAAATGGTTACAGCTTTATTAGTATATATGAAGCTATTTTTTTTAGAACCTCCGGATTATGTTCAAGTGCTCCAGTTGTTCCACATTCTGCCCATCACTTGGCATTGTTGGTGTTTAACTTCTAGCCATTTTAGTTAGTATGCACTGGTATCTCATTATGATTGAAGTGGTAGTTTCCTAATGATTGGAGATATTATAAATCTTTTTATTATTTTTGTCATTTGTACATCTTATTTGGTCATTTGTCTGTTCAAATCTTTTGTCTGCCTTTAATTATAATACAGTTACATCATTTCCCCTTCTGCTTTCCTACCTTCAAATCCTGCCATGTTCTTCCTGTAATGTTTCTTGTATGTGTGTTTTCAAGGCTGACAATTTGCTATTAGATAACCAATGTTATTTGAGAGTTAACATATCTAAATTCAAATCTTTACAAATACATATCTTGCAAGTATTTTCTCACAACCTGTATAAAACTATTTGTTTAAGAGTATTTCTCAAGTAATAAGCTATAAATGAAATAAAAAAGACTTATAGTAGGTGGTTCCAGATTGTATCATTCAATATGAAAATACAGAAAAGACAAAATTATATTAATTGAAACAAATCAGGAGTTGTTCCAAAGTTGGGTGGAAGGCATTGTCAGTAAGAAAACATGAGGGAACATTTATGATAAATAATAAATACTTGATACCTTGTTTGTATGATTTATAGAATTGCATGTTGACAATAGATGACCTCTTATGAGTGTAAGCTATTACTTTTTAAAATGACTTAAAATGATTTGTCTTACATTTATAAATGCCACTGTATTTACAATGCTTTCCATTGCTATGATAAATCATAAACCATAACCAAAGCAATAGAAAGAAGGGTTTACTTGAGCTTGTGGTTCCAGATGGACAAATGTCCATCCACATTATGGTGGGTAAGCATGGCAGCAGGCATGCATGGAGGCTGGAGCAGCAAGCTGGGAGCTCACATCTTGAACTGCAAGCAGAGAGAAGAACTGGCCATAGTAGGAATCTTCAAACTCTCAAAGCCTGCCTCCAGTACTTTTTTCACCAAGGCTACACTTCATAAACCTCTCCAAACCGTGAGAGCAACTGAGGAAGAAGTGTCCAAATATGTGGGTCCATTGGAGACAGTCTCATTCAAACCACCAAGCCACCATACAAAAGGATGATAAAATACTGATGTTAGTACTGAATGCTATGAAAAGCACCCAGTAGCTTTCTCATAAATAATAACAGATAAATGTTACACAATGACCCAATGCTTGAAGTTTAACCACTGGCACAGAGATAAGAGGGAAGTTTGACAATGGAAACTATTCGGCAAGTTTGGATAATGATAAGACAGGCTTGTGTTTTCCTGTACAAAGGACAATTCCAACTCTGTAGGTCTAAACAAACCTATTTCTTGATTTGCTTTTCTGAAACATCCTTGACACAGCAGATGTTTCTAGTGCCAAAGTCTCATGTATAGTCTTAATTAAAAACTTCCTCTTTTACTGCATTTTCCCATTTTTCTAATGTGCTCATTATTCAACAAGGCAAAAATCTTTACTCTAATTCCAATCTAGGTCTGTGACTCTTAATCATCTTTTATGTTAGGAAAAAAAAAAAAAAAAACTAGACAAATTCTTTCAAGGTCTGGCTGACCTTTGATGAGGAGTTGGGGATTTTACATCCAACTCATTGACTCAGCTTTTCCTCAAATCAATAGGTAAGTCAGACTCTCTGTTTCAAATGACACTGGAAGCAATATAAAAATCAATCACTCACTCTGGGACATTATCACTCATTCTGTTCCCTTGCTGTATGCAGAGTTCTTCAGCAAAAGCAAAACCCTTTTACAATGTATGACCTTTAGAACGACCTTCTCTCCACAACCATGCAACTCCAGCTTTGCCTAACTAACAAAGCCCCTGTCTACTCCCAAATTCAGAATGCATTTACTAAAGGTCCACACATGCCTTTCCGTATCAGTCACCTTCCTGAAGCTACAAATTTAGTATAAAATAAGGGGAAGTAGCTTTCCTCCAAAGGCTCACATTTAGACAGTAGCATACAGCTGATAGGGAAAAGCCTGTGTTCCGAGGCTCATCTCCCAGGTTCATGGTCCCCTCTCAGTTTTTCAACACGTTTTCATGTAGCAGAAAAGGGATCACGGCACTGAAGGGTCATAAAACTGCCCAGCACACTTAGTATCTGGTATGTAAGAACTGTTCACTCCGTATGCA